AATGTACATGATTTGATAAATTGGCATTAAGCAAACCCAGACATTTTCACAGGCAAAGTATTGGGTAAGTATGGTTTTGATTATAGATATGTATGATAAACTACGTTTATGACGACCACTGACTGAGTGACTGAGTTTGGTTTTACGCCGCTTTTAGCAATATTCCAGCAACATCACGGCGGGGGACACCAGAAATGGGCTTCACACATTGTACCCATGTGGGGATTCGAAACCGGATCTTCGGCGTGACGAGCCAATGCTTTAACCACTAGGCTACCCCACCGCCCCTTATGACGATCAAGTATAACGAACTGTTATTGGCTGCCGGCAACCTGCAGTATTAGTAAGTTGAAATGCGTATAACCAGGGAGACTATAGAGACTGTAGAGTATCCCTGGTATAACAAACGTGGGATGCATTGAAATGATATATAATTGGTGGTCCCTTTGAGATCGTTATACTGACTGACTGACAGTTTGGTTTTACGCCGCTTTTAGCAATATTCCAGCAAAATCACGGCGGGGGGACACCAGAAATGGGCTTCACACATTGTACCTATGTGGGGATTCGAACACGGGTCTTCGGCGTGACGAGCCAACGCTTTAACCATTAGGCTACCCCACCGCCCCTTGAGATCGTTATAACCGTAGTTGAGTATATATATACAGTATAAAATGCTCGAAGAGCTCCCTGTTTTTATGTCACTGTAGTTGATCTGCCAGGAGGCCGTGTCAGTTTTGTAACTTCTCTTGATTAGTATGTATGAATTGTTGTTTATCATTCACACATTTGAGGCAATAAAAACTATCAACAGGCATTTTGTTGTATTATGTTATGGAAATATTGTATGGACTGTTGACCCTTTCTAAATAAACTGTCAAAAAGAAATGCAAAATATCAATATTTTCTTAAAGTGTCAACTCACACTTTGCATACATGCATTAGGAACACAGTGAACCATGTGTGTTGACTGCGCTAATCAAAGAAAAAGCGTTGTTGATCCTGTTAATTTTTATGAGCGCTTCTGGTAGCTACGCCTTTGCACCTGACAACAACGGCCTAACGACAACATCTGCGCAACTTAGTAATCGTTTCCAGTCAGTCTAAAACATTAACTGACTTTTCATAAACTCAGAAGTGACACAAAATCAGCCATTTTCTTTTGACAGTGATGTTCGGGGTAAATTTTTTTACAAGAAAATATATAATATTTTCAGTATAATGCATATTACACTTAATGACTATCATAATAACACAGAAACACTGTCTTCAGAAATCTACATTTTACACATACCATTTACAAACATCATTACCCATTGCATACACTGTCCATTGCTTCCATGCTCTAATACACCTGAAAAGAAATATGTTGCCCAAGACAAAGTTTGGTTACACACAACTCACGCTCTGTTTCTGCGTGCGTGTGTAATTAATGTACAGAATCTATACTTTGAAAAGTTCCTTTGAAGTTCTATTAATCACGATCCCAAAATGATGTAATTATTATTTTAAAGGGCAAGTATACACGAAAATAAACCTTTTTGTCTTGCCCGTTTTCATCATGAAAAATGTTTGTCAAGTAGTTTTATATCCAAACCCGTACATATATCAGAAGTAACTCATTTATTTTTATCAATCTTTATATCAATTCATATTTTCAACATTTACCGAGAGTTCTGTGTCCACAATAAACACACCATGGATTATGTCCCTTGGAAATGACGTCATTGGTGCCCAAATGATAAACGAATGACGTCGTTAGACCTTATTAGACCCATTTCACGTGGTGCAGCTATAGGTGCGGTTCTTGTGTCTCGATGCGCAGACTACTGTTTTAATCCACCTGTTGCCTGGCCGTCAGCTGGCTATGTCATCAGTTCTACACTGTAATGATGTTGCAGTTTGAAAAAACGTATACATTGTACTAAATGTGTCACCACGTAACCAAATTGTATAACATTCAACCTGTGTCGGTCGCCTTTTCAACGGTATCTTTTTTCACAAAAACTAAAATGTGCACTACATCTAACTTGCCATCGGCGAATGTGCCGGCATTCTACGTTTGTTACTAAAATTACAATATGTCCTCTTCCACCTTCACTTTGATATCGATACCATATCCATGTACATCACGAAAATAAATGCAATTTGCACTTTTGAACTCTGTTTGAAATTCGTTTTTCTATATCATCCGCTCATTGTAGATCAAATATACTGAAAATTACATGCATCGTAAATCTCGCCAGTTTTTACACATTACTACATCACCATTCACTGCATTTTGCGTGTCTTAATTCAAATGTCAAAGTTTACTGGGAGAATTGAATTTAAAAGAAAAAGACCTATCATTGTGATCAGCGGTAGTTTTGTTGTTGTATGATCAAATCACTAATGCTCGTTCTGAAACATTGTCGATGAACCGAATATCGCTGAGAATGTTTTGGAAAATACTCTTGCAAACACAATTTACGTCAAAGTGAATTTTCAGCCATTTTACAGAGTGTTTATAAAATCACGTCACATGTAGATTCTATGTCGGCTGTATTTCGCCCATAAAATCAATTGTATATAGTTCAACACCATCTTCCTGACACGAATTCCTGAATTTCTCATACAGTTCAAAATAAACTGACAAATGGACTTTGTCACCAATTCGAAGTGTTTCAGTGAAATCGAACGAAATATATCAGATGCCACGCTGGGAAAGGACCACTTGTTTGAAAGGTAAACAAAGCCAATCTCAGATTTTACACTGTGCATCCGCTCGCCTACTTGTTGCATACACTTGCTCATTAGTTTTAGAACATGCATGGGAAAGGTATTGTAGCAAGCGATAGTTAAATAAAATAGGTGTATTCCCATGATTTTCTAGATTCATCACAACATATTATAGTTTCTGAAAGCATGACGCCATGACTGACGCAAACTCACGCACAACGATGACGGTACCTCTCTTAATTTCTGACTATTTCCCTTGGTCACAATGAAACAAGAAAATATCAACCAAACAACGAAAATTTCTTCGACAACTGCAGCGTACTCGTGTCAGTGAACACGCCATTTTGAAAAGTCGCTTCCCGATAGTGATATCATACGGACGTCAACATTGTTATACATATTTGGTATTTTCATCGAGGTGAGGTTATGAATGAAAACACACAAGATCAATCTGTCCTGCTGCTTACATTTTCTGTTCTTATGCTTCTTTCGAATTTTCACAAACTTTTTTCACGTGATTAATTTCAGTATTATTATCTTTTGATTTGGGACTAGACAGCAGACCAGTTTAAAATCAAGTGGCACCAATTACGTCATAATCAAAGGGCGGTAACTCAGGCCTGTTTAGCTCGGCAAACAAAGCTTCATATTGGCATAACATTTCAGCACTTATTTTGAGGGTTATACTTACATTGGTGTATATTTTCAAACATTGGTATTAACTAATTAAAACAGTTCACTTTGATTCACAGAAGAATAAATGTGATTTATTCGTGTACACTTCCCCTTTAATGTAAACTCAGTCAGGTTGCAACACGTTGTGTAACGTGAATATATGTCCGTATTTCATATTGGTACGTACGTGTATGTCAGTAAAGTATGGGTATGTGTGCGTACGTGTATGTCAGTAAGTATGGGTATGTGTACGTACGCGTATGCATTTACGTAAGAGAGCACATGAAAAGGCGTAGGTATACTGAAATGTACTAGAGTGAGTGAGTTAGTTTAGTTTTACGCCGCACTCAGCAATATTCCAGCTATATGGCGGCGGTCTGTAAGTAATCGAATCTGGACCAGACAATCCAGTGATCAACAGCATGAGCATCGATCTGCGCAATTGGGAACCGATGGCATGTGTCAACCAAGTCAGCAAGCCTGACCCGATCCCGTTAGTCGATTCTTACGACAAGCATTGGTTACTGAAGGTCAATATTCTAACCCGGGCCTTCACGGGTCGAAATGTACTAGATATTATTGGAGTTGACATTCAGTGACGTGCAAAAGCCACGTGTGTTCCATGTTTCTGGATCTAGATGTATTCGGTGGGTTGTTTGTGGTTGTTTTGTTGTTTTACGCCGCACTCAGCAATATTCCAACGGTGGCGGTCTGTAAGTAATCGAATCTGGACCAGACAATCCCGTGATCAACAGAATGAGCATCGATCTACGCAATTGGGATGATGTATTTGGTTGAAGATGTGGCAGTGCTGTATATAGGTCAGTATTTTACATATTTGTATATATTTAATGTAATGAAATAATGTATTATGTTTTACTGTAAAATACAGAATAAAATAAACTTGTATAACTTATCTATATACTTAGCTCCTGGTTGACTCATCTTTAATTCAACTTTAATACATGTACTATTTATTATTGGCATGAGTATATTTTGGGTAAGACATCCGCCCGTATCTCCCCTAAATGTTAACGATGGGGAAAAATTTCGGTAGGAATTCCACCCGTAAGCCCCGCTTGAAATGTATTATGATTATTTCTAGGGGTTAGTGTTTAGGTTTAGGGATCAGATTTAGCAATATTACGTTAGGGTTAGGGTTAGGGTGGGCTTTCTGTAAAAACCCATCTATTCTTAGGCATAGAATGATCAAAAACAAATCCAAAAAACCACCCCAAAATGGGGGTTACGGGCGGAAATCTTTCCGAATATACAACAATCCTTGAATGCATTTGATAAGTGTATTAGTTAATTACATTACACACTTAAACAGGACCTGTGCGTTATTCCTAAGCAAGTCCGGTTACAATGAAATGATACATACTGCAGTAATCAGATTTACATTGTTCATCGATTGAGAAACGTGTACATCTGTGGATTCGTCCAATGATGATACATGCTCCCTCAGCTCACACCCTGTAGCCTTTGTGGTTTTCATTCCCGCGAAACCCCAAATGTATAAATCTAGTAAGCTGTGGTATGCAAGGGACCGAACTTATAGAGTTGTTTCCCTTGTCACATTCACGATTTGTTTACAAATGGCAGCGTACCGACGACGGGTCGTAAAAGCTCGGTTGTTGAAGTCAGTGTAGAAAGTTTTGATTAATTACTAAACAGCCATGCCTGTTTCGGGCGTCAGGGGCGGGAAGTCGATGGGGAACTCAAGACAGAAAAAAGAAGATGTTGCAGAGAAGGTAAAAATAATTCGAAATATATTCAAAATTGCAAATATGATATTATGAGCCGCACGCACCTGTTACACTAGACCGCGTCTTACGCAGTTGTTTCAACTTACTGATTGGTCTTGTAAGGTGTACGGTTAAGAGAAGAAGTCACAAACTCAATCGCCCATGTGATTATCTCAGTGGTATTGAGTATTCTCCATTTTGTATGTTCAGAAATGGAGTGTTCAGGTTTTAGGTCCTTTCTCAGACCACAACAGGAATGCCATTGTTAGACATGTGGACCAGAAATGAAATTTTGCCCATCAGTTGTGTTAGCTGGAGTGAGTGAGTAAGGACGCCCCCGTTTTTTAGAAGTATTCCAGCAATATCGTGGTGGGGGACACGATAAATGGTCTTCGCACATTGTATCAATGTCGGGAATCAAACCTGGATCTTTGGTGTGACAAGCAAATACTTCAACCATTAGGCTATCCAACCTACTCTTTGTTGTACCTATGAAGATTCAGGGTAAAGTTGGTCTTCAGCAACCTTAGTAACGGGGATGACTATGACTCAACAACACAACTCATTGTTGATAATTAACAATCACAGCACTACCAATGAGGCTGTAGTATTAAGATCCGGAATTATGAAACACATTTGGCATATATAAAACCAAGTGTAACTAACCTGTAATTCACCAAAGTCAAAATCCTCCATCCATGACTTTCAAACCACCTTGCCAGGTTGGGAGAAAGACAGCAAGCGATTTCACAGTTTCCAAATGCAACTAAATTCAACATCCAATCAAGATGCTGCACATCTTCAGCCAATAGAAAACAAGGACAAGACAACAGACCTGACCTCATTAAGACTTGGCTCATTTGCATAGGAACTACTTTCAACCCTTGACCCAGTGGTGACTATAAATAAATCATGGACTTGTGAAAATGTAAACCTTTTCACTGACAATTGTATTATTGTTTAAGGTGTTATGAACTGATTCCAAACAGGAACATAAGACAAGACGTATTAAAATAGATTGCTTTTCCAGAACATTTTACAATTTGTATATTTTGTACTTGTTACACACTTGTATTTGTTACACACTTGTTTTGTACTTGTTACATTTATAATGTTTATTGTAAGAGGCGACTAACGGGATCAGGTGGTCGGGCTCGCTGGCTTGGTTGATGCATGTCATCATGTCCCAGTTGCCTGAATCACTTTCATCATGTCAGTAACCATGGTAACTGGATATTCTGGTCCAGACTCTTTTTATTTAGAGAATTCCATCATAAGCAGGAATATTGCAGAGTGCAGCTTGAAACTAAGAAACAATATTCTTGTTTAGTATTGTGCTTCAACTTAAGTTGTGTGTGTTCCAAGTTTAACATTATTAAATACATAATATGTCCTTATTAAATCAGAAAAAAGTGAATTTGAATTTGATTTCAGTTTTTGTTCATGATATCCTAATGTGAAGGTGAACTGCAGCCTTATGAGTTATGACTAATGTATGAGTCCTTAAGAGATTTCATGGTTGCTGTCTGTCATATTCTAGGTCCGTGAAATGAAGCTTCGACAGCAGAATTGGATGAAACAGAGAGATGAACACCTTACCAAACCTGAAACTGAAGCTCCAAAAACAAAGTGTTTGTTACTGATTTTACATTGCATAGAGTTTCCATTGGTGGTATTGAAATGTACCCAGGTACCTCTCTGTAGGAAGGTATTTACCTTAAAGAAACTTGAGGTGTGAAGAGTTGCAACAGAAACACTGTTGCTTTCAGGATTGTTGGCAAAAACCGACTTGTGTGGTTGTTTACAATTTGAGCAAAATTATTGAAAAGTGCTTGAAACAAATCAACATATTTCATGTACATAAAATATCTCTGAGTCTTATATTTTAAAAGAATGTGATGAAAATTATGTGTCATTGCCAAACAAAACTCATTTCTTTCCAAGCAGCTGGTAAAGAGAGTACTTCCAATGACAGAAGTGGAGCAAAGAAGGCTTCAGCTGCTGCTACACAGTCCATGTTGTCACGGACACAAAGTGCTGAGGGTCGGCTCAATACCCGACCATCCAAACCATTCAGCGCCAATGGAGGAGGACCCAGTCAAGTAAATACCAGAGGAAAGTTCCAGAATTGGCTGCAGGTGCGACACAACAGTTCTGATGTTGCCCTGGAAACAGCAGACTCTAGTGTAAGGGAGGAAGATGAAGGAACAGTTGACCTAGATGGGGCTTCAGCTTACATCCAAAGGGGAACGTCTGCCCCAGTTTGCCAACAAAGGGATGACTTTTCTGATTTTTCTGAGGGAGAATTTGAAGAGTTAAAATCAAGATTGCTGGCGCCAACAGATTTTGATGCTTTGGCAGACAGAATTGTGTCTCGTGTAAAGAAAGATCTTGATTTAAATGGTACTGATCGTCAATATAAGACAAGTAGTTACCAAAGCAAACGACATGTGTCATCAGAACTGCCATTAGAAAATGAAGATTCATCTTCTAATATGTCCAGTCACCATTGTCCTTGCTGTTCTGAAATAATGGTGGGTATTTTTTTAAGTAATTTTCTCTGATGAGTGGAAATGATTTTTTGTTATTTTGCCCAGTCCATGCACTATTTTATGTGGCCATCCTCATTTCTCCAAGAATGGTATATCTTTTTTTTCATTTCTAAGGCCAGACCAATTTTATTTCTTGTTTTGCGGATCCGCCTGTCTTATTTTTACAAGAATAAGAAAGTAAAAAACAATAAATTTTCCCCTCACTCAAAAATAAAATCCTAATGTTTTATTTGGCTTAAAAATGTAAACATACAAGAAATTTTGATTTTAGATTGTTTTTTGCCCCATATACACTTTATAAATTGCCTAAAGTAACATACTTTGAATATTTAAAAGGAATATTAGTTTGACTGGTGATTTTTGGGGGGATTTTTTCCCTCCTGCCTTTAGGTTTTCTGAGGACAAAAATCCTTAAAACAAGAAATAAAATTGGTCTGGCTTAAACTATGTTCAGAACACTGTTTTACTTAGTCTTCCATGCATTAATGTCACACAGTCACCACTTGCCAGCTAGTAGTGATGTAAAATGTCAGTTTTTTGCATGTTAGCTCAAAGGTTTTACTCATATGTATCACTAATTTCTGTTGCTAGGCAACCCTTAAGTATTCAGTAAGTCTGCTGACAACTATGCGTTTGGGACAAAATGGTGCCTTAGTGACAAGCTGTGCAGCAGTGAAGGCATAGAGCATGCTGACTGGCCAATTGACGTCCGAATTATGTCTAATGTACCCCTGCATTCAAAAGAAGCACAGTGTTTCCGCTGATTTAATAATTTATCGGACACAGTGTGTCTGGTGACCTAAAATTTTACCGGCGATTTTCAGGTATATACCGGAGAACGGAAACACTGAAGCATGCATTGTTTGATGCTTAGAAGATGTTATATCAGACTATGGAAAAAAACAGATTTCTGTGCTTGTGAGTGAAGTATATCATCTTAGAACTCATTTAAAAATGTTCAGACTCACTCTCGCGCTAACCAGCTTTGACTTTATAAAAAGGAATCTGTCTGTTCCAGATTGGTTCCCAGTTTACACCACTGTTGTTGATTCCATGTGGTCATACAGTTTGCCGGGAGTGCAGTCAAGGGAGAGAACTCTGTCCGGAGTGTTACTGTAGCATTGGCTCAACCACCTGTAACATTATGCTACAGCAGATCATACAGGAATACCAGGGCAAGAAAACTATGCAGAAGATTTCTCGGTCACAAACATACAGGAAAGATGATCAGTACAGTCCACAGAATTATCAGGAACACAAGAAAGGTAAACAGGGTCATAAAATCAGATCTTTAACTTTGCCATATCATGACGCTGATCAGAATGAAAGAAGTTTTCATCAGCACTACAGTCCTTTTAGCTCAAAACGGACCGATGAATTGCAATCTAACTCAAAAAGATTTTTGCAGAATTTATGTCCTAAAAATAAAAAAGTTGTTTCACAAACTCTCATTAAAATATTGACACAGTTCACTATTTGTTATGAGGGAGGAGTGCAAAGAGAGGAACAGCCAGGTGTGCGAGAAGCATGAGTGCTGACAAATATATTGATTCATTCACCTGTACTGTTCCATCTCTATCCTTTATCGTACACCTGGCTGTTCATAACAAATAGTGAACTGTGTCAGTATTTTAATGATAGTTTGTTAAATAACTTTTTTATTATTAGGACATAATTTCTGCCAAAAAACTCACAGAGTTGGTCTGATAATTGATTATGATCATTGTTTTGAGTATTATGTGTTTATTATTATTTGATGGAACATACTTACCGGGTACTCTGGTCTCTGTTGGCCGCGACCCATCGAGGGGGGTCGGCCTATCCATGAGAGATGATTTTGACACTGATTTTGAGGGTCTAGTTTGGGGGTCGGCTTATCCATGGGATCGGCTTATAGATGGTCATATACGGTAGTTATCGAGTTAGATTGCAATTCATCGGTCTGCTTTTGAGCCAAACCGACTATAGTAAATGTTAATGCCGTGTACAGTCCGTTAAAAACTTATGTACATGCTTTGCGTGCACCTGGCTGTTCCTATCTTTGCACTACTCCCTCGTAACAAATAGTTTTAATGAGAATTTGTTGGACAACTTTTTTTTATTTTTAGGACATAAATTCTGCAAAAAACTCACAGAGTTGGTCTGATGTTTTGATTGTGATCAGTGTTTCATCGAGTATTATATGTGTATTAGTTTTTGAGTTAGACTGCAATTCATCGGTCTGCTTTTGAGCCAAACAAACTGTAGTCAGCTGGTTAAGTTAGATTACTGATACCAGCCAATTTCAGATTCTTTATATACAAGGAGAAATCTGGCAGCAAACAGAAAAACATTTAACAGACATGAGAATTGTCCACTGATCCGGGATTTTTGTTTCATTTTTAACGTTTAGGAGATCGATGTAAATCTGCAATAAGAAACCCCCAAGATCCCCGGCTAAATTTTCAGAAATTTTTTGTGCTTTGCCGTTCTCATGTCTGATTTATGTTGCTACAAGGTTAGAACTTTAATTTTAGTCAATAGCAGACAGATTTCTGTTACTAACAGAGTGAGTGAGTGAGTTTAGTTTTACGCCGCTTTTAGCAATATTACAGCAATATCACGGTGGGGGACACCAGAAATGGGCTTCACATATTGTACCCATGTAGGGAATCGAACCCGGGTCTTCAGCGTGACGAGCGAACGCTTTAACCACAAGGCTACCCCACCGGCCCTGTTACTAACAGAGGGGTGGTGGCATGGCATTAGAGGTTAAAACATTTGCTTGTCTTGCTTAAGACCTTTCTCAGCCAACAGTCCTTATTTCAAGGAAATAGATAGACATGATGTCATGTTGGTGAGTTTAGGGGTGGTGGGATAGTCTAGTGGTTAAAGTGTTCACTTGTCACGAGAAGACTTGCATTCTCATTCCAGCTGCCAATGATTTTTCCAGTTGCAAATGTGAACACAAGAATAATTCTTTAAAAATTGCAAAATGTACTAGACTCTGATTAATTATGACCCATTCCTGGCCACTCTTGTCCCTGTGTCAGTGCATCTGGGAATGTTTTGTCTGATGTCAATCTTCAGCTTGTTGTTCCCATACCGAAATTAAATCTTTTGGTGAACATTTGCAGTAACTGCTTCAAAATGCTCTTGGGGTGGTGGGGTAGCCCAATGTTTAAGCGTTCGCTCATCACGCTGAAGACCCAGGTTTGATTCCCCACATGGGTACAATGTGTGAAGCCCATTTCTGGTGTCCCCCCGCCATGATATTGTTGAAATATTGCTAAAAGCGTCATAAAACCCAACTCACTCACTCACTCAGTTATTTGTTTGGTCTGGGGAGTTTAGGGACAGAGATATCCACTCTTCCGTTAGTGTTAGTCTGAGACTGGTGTGAAAATCTTCAGGAAAAAAGTTGATAGGTTTGAGTATTTATATAAATCACTAAATGTTGATCAATTATTGTTAAACATAAGAGAGCTAACTAATAAAAATGTTTGAAAGAAATCATAATATTTCACATCACTGGTGAGTGGTGACATACTTATGCCTGGATACCCAAGAAAACAACATTTTGTATATAATTTAGAAGCAGCCCATAGATATAGACATAGCTTTGTGTTTTATGTGAATAAATTAACAAAACATTACATCACAATTGTTTTGGTACGAAATTATCGACGACACAATTTCCCATTGACAATATTTCTGATTATTGATCTTTTAAGCCATCCCTACGAGTTGATTTCTTCCATAAGTGATCTATTTTATGTTAACTACTAGCCCCAAATCAGCTACCGACTAGTTGGATTTGACCAGTAATTCCAGTGGTATCATGTCAGCTTAATTTGGAAGGAAAGAAATCCTCATGTTAGATGTTTACCACACAGTGAAACCCACAACAATAAGGTGCATGGAGTAACCTAGTGGTTAAAGCATTCACTCATCACGCCGTAGACCTTGGTTCCATTCCCCACATGGGTACAACGTGTCAAGTCCAGGAGTTGTGTCCCCTGCAATGATAATGCTGGAATATTGCTAAAAATGGCGTAAAACTATACTCACGCACTCAACCCCACTCACTCACTCACTCTTCCTGTGTTAGTAGGTAATGGACAGCTGTTTCACGTGTAATGGGACGGTAATTGTTCCTGGGAAGTTCATTCACTCGCTCGCTCACTGACTCACTCACTTGCATCACTCACTCACTCGCATCATTCACTCGCATCACTCACTCACTCCAATGGGTATTAAACTGACAAACCAAGAAACCATTCTTGGGTTCAAACCCAGACTAAAGTCTTTGGGGGGCTACACAGCACTCACCGTAGACAACTGGTCTATATATTGTGAAGAAGATGATGTATTTCCGAGACCTGTTTTCACTTTGCAGGAACACATCCCTCAGTGGATAACAACCATTACAAAGAGCAGCTGCAGAATCTCTGTACACGCCTCGACGTCCTGTCGTCGGAGAAGACGTCCGCCCAGGTGGAGTGTGAGAGACTCTCCGATGCTATTCAGAGAGAGGCTGTGCAGGTGCGGAACATCTCGAAGGAGGAAGACAACATCTGCAGCCAGATCGACACCCTGGGAGAGAAGCTGAACATCCTGAGACAGCATCGAGGTGGAGTAATGCGAGAGTAAATGTGAAGAGATGAAGAGTGAGCGCGAGGAGGCACAGAGGCGTCTCACCATGCTGAAGGAGGCGATGGAGAGTCTGAACATTGAGCTAGAAAAGGTAAGTGGCTTTATGGTCTGTACAATGTGTACAGTTGTCAGAAATGTCATAAGCGCCCATAGATATAGACATAGCTTTGTGTTATATGTGAATAGATTAACAATGAGCGTCTGGATCGGGGGGCGCGGTGGGCGAGCTGGCTAAGGAGCCATGCTAGTATTCCAGCGAGCTTGGAGGTGCCGGGATAGAGCCCACCTGTGACCGGGTGTAAAAAACCTTGGAGTCAACTTTGTGTACAGACTCTTTCAGTGTTGTCACAACCCCTAGTGTACAGTACACAACCCTGTGCACTTAAAAGAACCCACGAATCCGTTGGTAAATGACCAGATGGTGGCCACATGAATACGTGCAAACACCTAGTTGCGGGTACAGCAACTTGGGGGAAAACTTGGACAAAGTGCTGTGACTATGTGTCCCAGTCCACCCAGCTGTGAATGGGTACCTCGTAAGGATAGAAATGCCACATTAACTCGGTGCGCCTAGTAGGCAGCAAGATTGGATGCTCCCCAAGGAGTTGAGATTGAAAATTACGATGTGCCATTGTGATGGATATCCAATAATCGAGGGAAAACAAAGCGCCTTTGAGCAGTTGTACTGGATATCGGCGCTATACAGATGTTTGTATGTATGTATGTGTAAAGAAAATGGAGAAGAAGAGAGATTCCTACAAAGTGCTATCTTCCATGCAGCTAAGTATGGTCAAAGTGCTAAAGTGCATATTTATATCATAAGAGGCGACTTCATAGATCAATGCTTATGCTGTTGATCACTGGAGCGTCTGGATCAGAATATTGCTGAGTGCATTTGTAAACAATAAACAAACAAATAAATATAAAACGAAACACATATCAGGCTTTTACCTCAACTCATGAACATAGGGGGCCGGGGACCAGTAATTATGTTTTAGGAGTCCTTGCAGGCAACAGGAGTGTCCTGTGAAGGAACAGTGTAGAGAACTGTACATTTTGATAATGTCTCTAGAGCCTGGAATGAATCATTGATCATGTGGACTCAGAGCTCCAGATAAGATTTAGCTCATGTGGGTACTGTACCCACTGTATTTTTTTGGAGTGGGTATTATGAATGTTGAGTGGGTATTTCATTTTCTGTTACCCACTGCTTTCAAATATGTGGGTATTTCAGTCATTTTACTCCCCTAAGTATTATGTCATTGAGTAAGTTTACTAAGCAGGTATGTTCTGCCTTATGTCATACATAATCAAAACCAACTTAAATATAATGGAAATGATTTCATAAAAAAATCACTCATCCTATACTGACAGTACAACACTAGTCCTATACAAACAGTACAACTTGATAGCAATCGATGTCTTTTTCATTATGCAAGTGATTTTTATAGATATATTCTGTACGCATATGTTTTAAACTTTGTGCGTATCTAACATTTTAAATATGCAACATATATTTTTCAATGCGTAACTCGAAATTTTCTGTGCGTATTTTACCCAAATACGCAGCTTATCTGGGCCTCTGTGGACTGGTGGATGAAATGATGCACGTAATAGCTCTGCAAGAAACAACCAAACACTTAGCAACGTCATACTTGTGTTGTGGGTGCAGTGAATAATATTGTAGGTCCCTCTGGACGCCAGTATATTATTATTCTGCATCCATTCCCTACTTTGTGTGTACTGGATGCACATTTGCACGTTGCACAAAACCCTGACATATGTATGAACACAAGGGTTACAGGGCTGATTATCTTACCTTTACGTGAAACGCTTTAATTTCATTAGTCAATGATGCTTTAACAAGTTTCCGTGTCAGTCTTCCCAGGAAGGTGACAATTGAAAAAAAATATTACCCGCTGCCACGGTAACCGCTAAACTCCCCACGAGAAGCTGTATCGCTAACAATCGTATTCATAATATGGCACATGCAGTCGATGGAGTTCGAAAACCGTTCGATTAGCTGTTTTTGAGTTCCGTATGTACACATTTATTTTACCCACTTTCACTGCTTTATTTAAACTATTTTATACATTGCATCGTTTGCACACTCAGCTTTCACATAATTAACCATAACTATTCTTATAGCATTTTTTAGCTTGTCAGAATATGTTTCACTGATTTTAAAAATCCAGTCTAGAGGCTTACGCCATTTTGTTTACTTGTCAAATAGTCGGTATGTCGAGCTTATCTTCAAAATAAAATAAAATGATATTTTGTACATTTAACATGGGCTAAGATAAAATCGTTGTAAACTTCTCCTCGGGTAATCGTGGTCTGATATGCGCATCTTTGTAGCAGTTTATCCTTCGCAGCTTTACCAGTTCGGGCAACAGCCCTGCTACAAAGATGTGTATATCAGACCGTATGACCCTCGAGAGAAGCGTACAACTTATAAATGATGTTTCATGTCTTGACTTGAATCTGCAACGCAACTGGACTGTTGTGAGGGTATTTGGAATAGCATTATGAGTGAGTGAGTTACGCCACTTTTAGCAATATTCCAGCAATATCACGGCGGGGGACACCTGAAATGAGCTTCACACATTGTACCCATGTGGGGAATCAAACCTGGGTGTTCAGCGTGATGAGCGAACACTTAACCATTGGGCTACCCCACCACCCCAAGAGCATTTTAAAGTTACTGCTAATGTTCACCAAAGATTTAATTTCCGTATGGGAACAACAAGCTGAAGATTGACATCAGACAGCACATTCCCAGATGCACTGACACAGGGACAAGGGTGGCCAGGAATGAGTCATAAGTAATCAGAGTCTAGTACATTTTCCAATTTCACTCTTAAAGAATTATTCTTGTGTTCACATTTGCAACTGGAAAAATCATTGGCAGCTGGAATGCAAGTGTTTACATTAGAGTTATTTCCCTTCCTCTCGAATTAGACTGGTTTGTCTCCCCTAGAACTCTTGGGTTCCTCGCTGCAATTGGCAGCAGCAAGAAGGCAAAGGACAGGACACCAGTCTGTAATCGAGCATCCCAGCCATATCTCCTCGGTTATTTCACGTTTTGATGGAATGACACTTGTTTTATATGGCAAGGATATCACATGGTTTTTTTCAGTATTAGAGTAATATGTGTACAAGGGCTTTGTAATGGCCTTAAGAAGGCCTTAAATTTATTGATAGTAAGAACCATGTTTCCGGAACAGAAAGCAGAGGTGTTAGGCTGAATACAAAGGTCAAGGATACTATGTACCTGGTACATTGTGGTGAAACAGTTAATCAAGTAATTGGTCATTCTAGACATGTTTTGAAGTGAAATCAATAATGGCTAAAAGCATGGGTCTCTCTTAACTTCCACAACAACATCGCTCACATGTATGTTGTGATGTGTGCTCACAGCCAAGCCGGTCTCCGAAGCTGCGTAGTAATCCTCATGAGTATGATCAGTAAAACAGTTAGCACCTCACTGGTTTATTTGTTTGGGGGTGGTGGGGTAGCCTAGTGGTTAAAGCTTTTAGTTCATCACGCTGAAGACCCAGGTTGATTGTCCGACAAAGGGTACAGTGTGTGAAATCCATTTCTGGTGTCCCCGCCGTGATATTGCTGGAATATTCCTAAAAGCAGCGTAAAACCAAAACTCACTCACTCACTCAATTATTTGTTTGGTATGTTTAGTATGTATGACCCAGGAGTTACCTCCCTTGGCCATTGCAACGTGTGTAGTTACCCGTTATCCATTGAAGCCTCGTCTTTGGAAAAAGACCAGTATTAGTTGTGATATATCATGATGCCAGTTTTAAATGATACAAGCCCCTGTGAACTGATGATCAAGATTCAGTTAGCCAAAGTATAAAATTTAAGGCACGACCTTGGTTTTGACTACAGAAGAATAATGTTTCAAGCATATAACTGACATGCCTTTTGTTCAGGGGCCACTTGCACAAAGCGATCTTAGAGCTACGAGTATCTTAAGACTATGCTGGAGAATGGGAGTTACAATCATTGTAGCGCTAAGATCGCTTTGTGGAGAGACCATATACCGATCGGACTTACTTAATAGAACTTACTTAATCGGAACTTACTGATGGGTGAGTGCCTCTCTGAAGACACACATGTCTACAGTGGCTGTACAGATCGATGATCAGAAGCTGGTCAGGGCTGTTTATGGAAGCAGAGCACGCAGTATGGTGAAAAAGGTACAGTAGCTGGCCATAAGTCAGTCATCATTAGTGAAATTTCCCTAGACTTACATGTTGATTACGGTAACTGTTGCAAGAATAATTTTCATAAATTGAGTTGAAGTCATTTTATTTTGATATTTTGCAAAAATATGTGTACATAATTTTCTTTCATCTTTCTTTTGATTAGTTATCGAATCACACTTGATTAAGCACCATATATAAGTACAACTTTTAATCTGTCCCATAGACAGCCATGTTAAACCTGATTGGTATGTCTAATATATGTTGTTTAAGTATTTGTAGTTTTCTTAATAATCATCGGAAAATTGAATGAAAATTATGTGTATGTAGCTGAGATGATTTCCCAGCTGGTAGATGAGTATTGAAAGCAATTCGACCGAAACTACATTCATGAAAATTATTCTTGCAAGAGTTAATTAACATGCAGGTCTATGGTAATTTCACAAATGATGACTCACTCATGGACAACTACTGTAGGTCTAAATTCAGACATCAAAGGTTTATCTAATAATACACAGCTGTTGAGGCATGTTAATTAATTTCTCAACAAAACAGCATCAAATTCATGAAGTAATAGAATTCATCCCGTGGGAATTACATTTGAATAGATTTCCTGCCAACTATACTTGTCATATGATTCGACGTAATAGTGAGTGAGTTAATATTTAACGTCACATCGGCAATACTCAGCCATATCATGACGAACTCGACGTACATTGTGTGCCAACATACATCTTTGATGTGTATTAATTAAAGGCCATGTTGTTGTGTCCTGTTCATTGTTCCGGTTGTTGCTGTAGTTGTTTCTGCTGTCAGGAGAATACTGACTGTAGTTGTGGTGATTGTGTCTGTTGTCATGGTGCTTGTC